AGTCGGAGCCAGAGGTCGAGGCGAATGTCAACGAAGCTGATGACTGGACCTCCATGGAGATTGTGAAGATCATATACAAAGACGTTCCTGAGAATCTGCATATAGCTGCCAATGGCGGTATTATTCAGATACTTCTCAAGTTAGAAGAGGAAGAAAAGGTGGTTGAAGACGCAAAGACAGGGAGGTGGAGACTCAGAAACCGCGCGGCTCTTTGAGGTGATTGAAGGCAGAAGGCAAACATCTTAGGGCTGTGGTTCTGGCAGAGCTACAAAAGAAAGAGCTGACTTGGCGCTATTGGGCTGGAAGCTCTCGACTATCTGTACTTGAGCAACCAACGTTGCATGAAGTAGTACACTTTCCAACGCACGATTTCCATTGGTCAAGGAGGGGATACTGAAATGGACAGAGTGATGTGTTGGACTTGACAACTCAACCCCACCAAATGTCTAATACCCCACACAGATAAACCCGCCAAGATCTTACAGAGCCAAGACTACCAGGCGGTAAATTCGGACCAATAATATATATGCTACATGCATGTCCGAGAACTCTCTGTCCTACCCCAGGGCCTGGGGTTTGTGGATCGGCTCTTTCGTTATCCTCATTCGCATCTTGGCCCAGGTCGCAGTGCGGGGGATACGCTGGTGATAAGACCACTAGGCGGTGAAGCGCAATATATTTTCGAGACACACGACACCCGGATGCACCCTTGGCATCGATTTTGATACAGTATACTTCAATAAGTTGACGATTACTCGTCCGTGCAGGCAGCCTCGCCCGTCGTGAGGGGTGTCCCGCTTCCAAGCGACATGCGATTCTGGCCGTTTGGGATGCCAACACCTTCCAATGAGATCATGCCGCCTCACGCACGGAGCGTTTGTCCGTAAGCAAACCCACCTTTCCCAGCCACATACAGTATGATAGGAGCGAGTGCCGGGCCTCTGCGGCAGTCAAATCAGAGTTCCACGTTTTCAAAGAAGGTTTGGGGAAGCATGTAGTGGCACCACCAGACGGTGCAAGATCTGAATCATCCGCCAATGCGTCACACGTGGGTTTCAAAGACTGTGGATAAGAGGTCAGAATCGGTGCGACAGCGTCACACATTTGACAGAGAGTGTGGTGTGTGTGGTGCGAGGCTCCGGGATGGGAAAGTTTCCCCCACCTGAGAAATACCAGGGCAGGAGCAGACGAGCAGACGGATGACCATCTCAGATCTTAAGTCCGAGTCCCAAGCATCCTGGGCGACGGGGGTCACGAAGGATAGCACGGCATCCGGGACAGTAGACAGCAAGTGCGCAGCAAATCTTCGTTCTTCGATACGGATCCTAGCCATTTCCGGACCTCCTCTTGGACGTGTGACTTGTGTGCCCTGGGGAAAATGGGGAAGGGAGGGGCGGTCAGGGTGGCAGATCGGATCGAAAAGATGAGGGCATTCGTACTTTGCAGCAATTCCACTGCTTCCGAACTTCCCGGAGGCCTTGCCGGACCCTGGTCGCCAGGTGTGGCGTGATGGGCCTCTGCACGCCAAGCCTTGCCTGCTCACTTGTCAACCATTGAGAATTGCTGCTACCTGAAGCCAAGAGAGATCCCTGCCGATTTCGATGATTGTTGAATGTTCAGCCTTGCCCGAGCAGAGTTGAGAATTATTAATCCCGCCAGCGTTGGGCAAAACAACTCTCCGTGAGCGGATGCACCTCCTGCTGTTTCTCAGCGTCTCACAGTCCGCCTGCCCCTCTCTGAGGTGCTTACGTGAAGTTTTGCTACTTGATATGGTATAGCTGCTGCTTATGATCCGTTGCAGCGGGCGAAATCTCCCGAGCTCGAAAGGAACAAGTACAGTGATTGAGTCAGACCCCAAGAAGTCTATACCCTTCCTCTGCATGCTCTGCTCTCCATGTGCTCGCCGTGCCTGTCGCCGACAGGCAGCTGTTGTCTGAGTCCAGAGCTCGGCCATCGGCCTTCGTCTTGGGCGACGGAGGATTCGGCGTATTATAAACGTCATACCGCTGGTGTCATTTTTTTCTGTTTGCGCTCCACAGCTCATATATCTACTGCTCACCATAGTAATCAACTTATACCTCTCCTGTGATCTGACTGCAAATATAACCTCTCTTGAAGTTCCATACACCGCTACGATTCCTCACTCCCCGCTCGGACCATCCAGGGAACTTTCTTTTGACATCCAGCGACCTTCCCACGACACCTATGCGGTCACCATCACCGAAATTCGTGACCTTTACCAGTGCTATACTGCTCGGACTCACCCCCGTTGCAGTCGCACACGGCCACGATGAGGATATGAATATGAATATGGGCGAGTCGTCCATCACACACCCAACCATGACCTCCGGCGCCAATGTCACTTTACCAGAGACGTATTTTCGGTATGGCGAACACTCCGGATTACTGGCAGCGCACATTTTCCTCATGACTATTGCCTGGGTTTTCATTCTGCCAATAGGTATATAGCTCCTTACAGCTTAAACAACAAAAAAAGTATACTGATTTTATTAGGTGTCATGCTGTCGATTTCCCGCTCCCGGTACAACCTGCTAGTACAATTCGTCTTCCTGGCAGTAAACGGAGCCGGGGTCTTACTTGTCACCATTTACAACGCGCCGGATTTGTACCCAAACAATGCGCATCATAAACTAGGGTGGATCTTAACGTGGATCACAGGAGCGCAGGCGGTGATGGGTGTTATAAGCGCGTACACGAGACGAAAAGACGATCGCGGGGCGTTTATCCCTGTCTCGACGCAGAATATCGAACAGCATCAGCGCATCCATAATATGAACCAGGCGCAAATCTACCGGTTTTCAAACGACAGTGGTCAGGGCACTGAACCCAATACTGAGTCTTTGAGAAGCCAATCGATTTCTTCGACACATTCAGATGATCCCCAGCTTCCTGATGTGCGCAGGGAGCACGAGGAAGAAGACCAGGATGAGAAACTGGGCTTGATGCATGGTAGCAAGGTGGATAAATTCTTGTCTAAGAAGATCCCAGGACTGGTGTCTGGGAGACTTTTGAGAGTTTTTCAGTTCTTTTATAATGTCATCGATCGCGTGATCTTGATTCTTGGGTTCGTTGCGATGAGCACGGGGATCGTTACTTACGGTGGATTTTTCGTAAGTCGCCTTCTGAGCTTTAAACAGAATTTGATACTGATTTTGTTAGATTGGACCTGCAGTTTTCAATGGACTTGCACACTTTATCAAAGGCGGCGTGTTCTTCTGGTACGGCATCTTAACCATTGGTCGTTGGGCTGGTTGCTTTGCGGACATAGGTTGGGCCTGGAACATCAAGCCTAACAAGGGAGGCCGAAGAATAACTGCGGAGTTTGTGGAGAGCTTCCTCATTTTCTTTTATGGGTCTACGAACGTTTTCTTGGAGCATTTGACTGCGTGGGGAGAGGAATGGAGTGCTCAGGATCTGGAGCACATTTCGATCACCGTTATGTTCTTTGGTGGTGGATTGGTAAGCCCTCCTCCCCCCAAATCTCAGAGAAAACCAAAGTTGACTGAGGATGAAACAGTGCGGAATGCTCATCGAATCAACCCGCATACGCTCCCTCCTGAACGCCACCAAGTCTTCTCAAATTCATCCTTCCTACGGCTCAGAGGAATCCCAGGAATTACAAGAGCCCAAATCCTACGCCTTCCCAATGAACCCCATTCCCGCGCTCGTGGTCCTGCTCCTCGGACTAATGATGTCCTCGCATCACCAAGAGTCAATGGTTGCGACGATGATCCACTCGCAATGGGGGACTCTGCTCGTCGGGGCGGCATTCGCAAGAGCCGCAACTTACATTTTGTTCTACCTGAGCCCACCGGCAAGTGTTTTGCCTGGTAGGCCGCCGACGGAATTGATCACGGCGTTTTGTTTGATGGCTGGGGGAATGATTTTCATGGCTAGTGTAAGCGCTTCCCTCTCCCCTATCGCTCGTTTGTGGAGGTGCTAATGATCGTATTTTAGGCACGAGATCTCACCGAAGCAATGGAAGCCAATGGCCTGGACGCAATGTTCATCTTCACCGTCTCGATGGGTGTGATTACGTTCTTGATGGCGTGGATCATTGTTGTTGTTGCCATCAAAGGCTGGGCTGTGAGGAGGGAGAATAGGAGTGTGTTTACGTACCGCCAGGTTGCGTATTAAGCGCTGAGCGCGGCTCGCTCGCGAGCAAATAAGTGAGAGAAGGAGTGAGTAATGATGGAGGAAGAAATGAGGGAAGGAGAGAAGTCATGGATGGACAAGGGAACGAACTGACGAAACTTTCGCGGCATTCATGGCGCACAATGATACCACTTGACTTTTACGACATTGATGGGAGGATACGAGGATAGATAGAATAATAATAATAATACTTTCTACTTGAGATGTAAAGGTTATTGACTGATTAATAATAAGAAGCCAGCGAACTGCAAAGTCTTGTTTTCCCAAATGATAAGAATTGCTGGCAGTTTGATTTCCATAGTGGATTCGACTCAGATTGGGAGCAATGATCAAGTTGCAGTGAGCAAATTTCCTAGTCAGGTTTGGCACATTTGCCAACTTGCAGGTGCTCAATGTTCAAGTCAGGTTGAGAACATTGCTAGTTTGAAGTATTCCAATGTTCAAGTCAATTCGGGAACAACAGAGCTTGCATTGTTTGAATTGTTTAAGTCGTGTTGGGGACAATGAAGCTTGCTGAAATTCAATGTTCAGGTCAGGTTGGGGGCATTCAATCATATGATGGTGGAAATATACTGCTTGAGAGAGAAACAGGGTTATAGATTCGAAAGCAGGTTTCTACATCTGAAAATATCATCTCCCACACGAAAATTTCAAGTCCTAGTCCGCCTGAGTTGAATAAATGGGTTCCTTTGCCTCAATCAAGGGAAGATGGGTGGGACAGCCAGACGATGATTGGTTCGCCAAGCCTGTTCGGACCCAGTCTCAGCCACTTTTTCAGTGAGTCGCATAGGTTGAAATAAGGCGATTTTTCGGTAATTGCCTGAGTCGCGATGCCAGAGTGGTTGTGAGTGTATTCGGCCTTGGAATGCTTCAAAAACTAACCCGTTCAGAATGGGTAAGACTTGAATTAATTTTCAGTTATCTTATGGCTTCGGCCTCGTAGGTTCAAATCCTGCTCGCGACGTTTTTTTAAACATTTTTTTTTTACTCAAAGTTATGCTGCTTTGTTGCATCGCTGGTTGCTTCAATATTTTCGGATACTTTTTCAGGTTGTGCGAGTCTTAGGGGCTTTGGCGAGGTTTGGTGGGGTTGAGGGGCGTCACACTGAAATTCGCGAGCACCGAAGACAAGCAAGAAAGATTCCTAACAAAGTTGAAGGACACGAGGTGCGATATGCGTCATACTCATGTTGCTACCGCAAAATAACTCTCAAACCTTGCCAGTAATCTTCCGAGAGGTCACAGGTGGCTGGTAATTAAATTCACGGAACCCTTATCCCCAAAGGTTTCAAACAAGCCATTCAATCATCGGCTTTCTTCTCCCCTTTCTCAATCCCAGCCATCACAATCCTCTTTTGCTCCTCAATCGAGAATAGGGACGTCCCTTGCTGAAGAGCATTGATCAAGAGCGGCAAGGCATCGTCCCTAAAGTCGTCTGCTCCCCGAAGACGATCGAGGTCTTCAGAGAATTCCGTGGTGGCGCGCTGCATGTAGAATTTGGTGAACGCAGCGGTCACTTCAGCATCGCTCATGTCCTTGGATGATGCAGGTGGTGTCTGTATCTGATTAATTGAGGCTTATTTGGCTGGAAACAGATTGCTGACCGCCTTCTCAGGCTCCTTCTGAGACTTCACTTCCTTTCTCTCAGGCTCGCTGTCGCTTTCTGAAGACACTGGAATGGTCAGCACCGCGCTAAAGCGCTCTTTCGGTGTCAGTCGTACCTTGAGTCCTTGGTTTTCTCTTCTTATGCCGCTTTGCTTTGGTCCTTGGCTTGCTCTCCATTTTGAGGATTGCTTTGTGAACATCGATGGAGTCTGGAGTTGGAACATCAGCTTTGGCAGCAACTTTTTGAGGTCACGTGAGATAACATAGAAAACACAAAAGCTCTCCCAAAGTTTCTAAAATCACTGGTTTATTTGGTTACAGCATTTACATGGATCTCTAATTGTTGTTCATTCTGCTTGGACGAGTGGCTGCACCCATTTTTGGTCGAGTTTATAGGTAGTATTAGCGATATCATGATTGGGAAGAAAGGGAAGCCACGACTGCCGACCACAGAAATTTAAGTCCGAGTTCCTTCCTTCAATCTCACTCTCTAAATTTCTGTCTTGTCTAATCGTTGCTTCCTCGATTGACCCAACTCTTCACGAAGTTTCTGACACTTCTCCACAAACCATCACAAACAACAGTCGATTATTGTCAGCAGAGGAACAAATACACTTCCGCTCATCCACTTGTCCATGACCTTCAAAGGATACGGCAATTCGGAATCTCCTGGGACCGAATCTCCCAAGCAGTTCAATAATTCTCCCACAAGAAACAGCACTCCATCAGCTGCAAAGCCTTCTGCTGAAGACCAAGGCGATACGACTCGCACCCGCTCCTCGACAGGCAGCTCCTCTCGATTCAGTGCACGCACAGCAGTAACTGACGGAGCCTCCGAGTCTTGTTCAACAGGGGGTCCGAGCCGTGTTCAAACCAAGAACACCACACCAAGCACTTCTCCATCACTAGAGAAGCAGGAAACGAAGTAAGATCCGCCTGAACAGACCTCTTTGCTTCTACTGACTGTTCGTAGGGAGAAGGAGAAGTATCGAACGGCAGCTTATCAACCATCCCTAGCTGCTGGTGGCCCAGTAGACCTTACCAAAAGCTTTACTCCAACCGTTCACGGGACATTCTCCTTAGGAGGAAGCAAAACGACAAACCCGTAAGAACCATATTCTGATCTACATCTTCTCAAAGATACCACAACTGCTGGGACAATGCCTTCCGCTATACATGACAACAACTTACCGCTCGCAAGTGGCGAGACTGCTGTATCACCAGCTGCCAATGTACCAACCCAGACTGGAACAAATGAGAATACCACTGCACCTGCTCAACTTGCACCATCTCGGGACGCCGATGAGGACGAATCAATCACTCCAAAGGCTGTAACACCAGCTGCGCCTGCAATTGCAGATCCTTTGGGAGTAGCGCCGGAGGAAGTAAATGGGCATTCAAATGTGAGTGGACAGTCTAATGGGGGTGTGAATGGTGCCACGAACGAACTCGCGAAGGGTAGAAGAGATTCCGCCGATCCACTATTCGTCAGACGACGAGCAGGAACAGGCGTACGTGATCCCCCGTCCTCTCTTTCCTCTTGCAGAGGCATTCTTGCACAATTGATTGTTCCCCCAGTGATGAACCATTCAAGGCACTTGCTCTTTCCAATGTCCCACACACCCTGGTGCATTCGTTGAACTAAACCTTGTATAGAGCTCAAATCCTATGACAGAGAGCAGTGTTGTCGGTGCGGCTACTGTCGCGATCCCACCTGAAGTTCGTCTTCGTGCAGATTCTGCTACTCCCGTACCTCTCATGAATCCCATCAGTCAACCTTTACCGACAAGCATTGCCAGCTACCAACGCCGATTGTCCCGCGAGAATCGGGAAGAATTGGAGAAGCAACGAGAAATGATTGAACGAGTCAAACGAGATCGATGAATGCAAAATTCCTCGCTGGGTCAATGCAAGGCACGATTGCGAAAGTTTTCTTTGTGTTCAGTATTTCTATGATTCAGTATGAGGAATGGCTTTCGTCCAATTGGGGAGGACCTTCTGCCCGTGTAAATCACCATTGTACCATTGTAGAGTAGTCACCTTTAACGACGATTGAGCCAGGCGGCTTGCGGTCTCAATAACATCAGCGATTATGCCATTGAGTATCTTCCTTCAAAACGTGGAAGTTGTATGTGACAAATGCCATTTCCTCTCTCCCCCCATATCCATCCTCGACGCTTCAATTAAGCAGCAATCGTGACTTCAACCTCGACACCAGCCTCAATGTTGATGATGATCTGCTTGACAACTTCGGTGGGAGCATTAAGACTGCACAAATGATGAGCATTCATCCCTTATTTTCCCAGTCTGATTGCCAACTTACTCAATCAAACGCTTGTGGATTCTCATCTCGAAGGTATCCCAGGTCTTGGATCCTTCACCGCAGGGTGTCTTTCGGGTAGTGACCTTGAGGGTCTTGGTCGGGAGACGGACGGGGCCCTTGACGCGGAGTTCCTTGCCCTTGGCACGCTCGATGAGCTCCTGGCAGACCTTCTCGAGGGATTGGACTTTGCGGGAGGTCAGGGTGATGCGGATCTTGTGGGTTTTCTATCCAGAATGTACGTTAGCAGAAATTTGGGAGGAGCGGGGCAGAAAGAGGTCAAACCGGGCCTTCGCCGAACTCCTTTTCTGGCTTTTGATAAGACATTTTTCCGAGGAAATTTCCTTCACGACTCGAACGTTTCAGTTACGGCAAAGTGATGAAGGTGATCGTTGTGCGTTGCGTTGTCGATGGGGAACAAGAGATTGTCGAGATTTGGATTATTTTGGGGTTGTGGGCGGAAAGTCTTGGCGTGGCGATTAAGCGAGGCTAACCTTATTGGGGTGAAGGCTACTTCAGCCTTGCTGCATTGACGAGGAAGCGAATTCCGTGAGTCAAACGGCGTGGACGACGACCTGAATACTGGACTGTAAGTTGGGGGTTAGGATTTGGGTATATAAGAGCTCGAATTGCTCGATACTCTCCCATCAAATTCAACAATCGACATCGACAGCTATATTGAAATGGCCAAGGTTACCGCTTTCCCGCCTCTGGTACCCTTTCCAGAAGCGGCATGGAGGGAACATATTGTACCTGAGGAATGGGAAGCTTGCTTGGATGCTTGGCTATCTCTCGCGGGGGCTCATCTTTCGTTGTCGAATACAGACTTCGCCCGTGTCTCGGCCAAGGACGAATCTTTACCAGCTTTCCTTACCTCCTATGCTGAGCAAACGGGCTTGTCACATGACAAAACTCCATCGGGGAACGTTCATAAGACAAGACAACTACGCAAGCAAAGCTTCTTATTATCTCACAGACTGCTGAATACGGACCATCCACCAGGCTCACTGCTTCTTTGGGAATTTCTGGCAGACTTGAGCAAGATATATGGCAAGGATCATGGCAACAAAGTTGTCACACTGGTCTGGAAACGGCATTTGCCCTCCTTGGAACCCTCTTTGGCCGCCCTCAAGACCTCTTTGATTAAAGAACTGGACACTGGTTTGAAAGGTGATTTGAAGACAGCAGAGTCAGAACTTAAGCGGCTAAATCACCTGCTTTATTCTTCCCCTGAAGTAGCTGCGTTCTTTATGGCTGGAAGCGACTTTGTGGACTCCCTCATCAGCTGCTATAAGCTCATGAACCCACCATTACGAAAGTCTATTATCTCGACGCTCTATCTCTGCTTAATTGGACTTACGGAAGGGGAGAAACCAAACTTCTCTGCTCTGGTCGATCAGCTTTACTCACTAAAAGCTGCAGCTGAAGCTCATAAGGCCGGCCCTACGAACGTCAATGACTCGCTCGTTGCCGAGCTGGTCACCGAGACTCCTATTCTAAAACAAGTTCAGCAGAGAATTGAAACAAGTGGTTCAGGATCTAGTAGAGCGAAGTCTGTTCTTATGTCTCTTGGAGGGTTTCGAAAAGCAGGTGGTAGTTCAAGACCACAGCGTCTCATTAAGAGGAAGATCAACAAAGGAAAGGGAGTTGCTTTTGAGGTTGATGGTTATACATCAGTTCATGTGCACCGCATGAGCTTGGTTTCACAGGTTCAGGATCTCTTCCCAGATCTTGGTTCTGGCTTTGTGGTGAAGTTGTTGGATGAGTATGGCGATGATGTGGAGCAAGTGATCTCGCACCTCTTGGAAGGATCATTACCTGCGCATCTCGAGAGTGCTGATCGGTCAGCGGAACTGTAAGTCATCCAATTTCCCCTTCTAATTCAGTACCTAACAGCCGTAGGCCTTCTCCCAGTCAGCTCACAGGGGACCCCGCCCCAAACCTAGCACCACATTCAACTCCACCCCAACTACCAACCCGCCACAACATCTTCGACGACGATGAATTTGACCAACTAGCAATAGACACCTCCAAGCTCCA